ACATATCACGGAATTTGATGAAGACGACAAGCTAAGCATCAGATATTTATGGCGTTAGTTTAACATTAAAATGGTGACAGTTTACGTTTTACATTTTACCCGTTCTTGATACACGAGGCTATCTGTAGGAACCAAACCCTCGTACGTAACGACATTCATCTGTACTTCTTCTTCTTCTTACGTTTCTTGACCATTATTTCGGTCTTCCGGTTCCTAATAATTTATTCCATTCTTCTCTATTTTCCCATCCTTCCGGAGGTAGTTTCCACTCTATCATGTTTCTTGTAATTCCGTCGTTCCATCCTGGTCTCGGTCTTCCTCTCTTCCTTCTGTCTTTTGGTTGCCATTCCATAGTCTTTTTGGTAACTTTTCCTCCTCAATCCTTTGCACGTGTCCGTACCAAATCAGTTGTCTTTCCTCTATCTCCTCAATTATATCTCGGTCCACCCTCTTCATTTCTCTAATCCTTTACTATACTTATAATTAAAAATCTATTTGGTTTCTTAACCGTTTGATTTTCAGCACTGTGCCTTTAAAATTGCAGTCACACATTAGGTTGAAAACCCATAATATTTTGGCTATTATATTAGAGTGATTTAGGCCTATGCGTATGAATATTGAGTGCAATTTTTAAACTTTATTTGTGCACCTGTATAAGATAATTGTAAGAATAATCAAAATATATATTTCTAATTGGACGGATACTGACGTAAGCAATGTCTGAAAGGACAACTATGCGTCATGCATCGTAACATAGCCTTCTGAAACGTATAACTAGAAAACTCTATGAAACAAATATCTTATTCTGAAGTGGTTCCTATTCTTAGAAGTTTCCAGACTAAAATTCTGAAAGCATTTCATTTATCCTTTATTTGTGTTGTAAATCAAGCATATTTACAGTTCATTTTATCGTCCTTGATAACACGGTGTAGAATACAGATTATGAATTGATCATTATGAAACTGAATCCAAAGTTTTGGTTAAAACATTCTCCATCTAACTTAGAGCTCATACACCTTCTATATATTTTATTACCTTAGGGCAAAGGCGGATAACAATTTTGGGAAATAATAGAGTTCAGACAAGAAAAATGAGAATTCAATAAAGAAATAAAATAAATTCCATGTAGATATGAAGAGCCAATATGTCAAGAAAACTTGATTTAGTTATTCATGTGGATACATGACACATGCTAGAGAACAGAATAAAACACGAAATAAAACATTTTTAACTAAGGGTGGGGGTGTTCCATAAGTTCGACTTCTTTGCCTGCACTTGCTCCAAGATATCAGCTATAGTTCTGACGGTTGAACAAACACCATTTCGTATTCTGAATAAATAATGCGCGCGCAAACAAACAAAAAAAACGGAGGAGACGCCGTGGTGCAGCATCCTTGAGTGATGGGCCCAAAGATCAACTAGGGTAGGGTAAGTCCTAAGAGGGCGTCGCCACCCTGACGCCACTGCGTTGACGGGTGTAATAATACCTAGCGTCTTCACCAAACAACCTAACCTCCACGAAGATTGACATCAAAACTTTGAAAGATATATTCTCCTCAGTAACATTACGTGCTAACTCGTCCTGAGGCTGAACAACTCATGACCCGTGATAACAAAATCTACTTGTATATCGGCCATGCCGTTATTAGCTGTGTAATAGTCTGCGAACCACCTTAATGGAAGAGTCTCATCCTTCATAAACTGGTGGTTTCTCGGCTGATTAGAACATTCCACATGCCATTTTTGGGACAAAATTATATATTACCGTTTACGCAAGACCCTGCTACTTGAATCAAAATGACACACTTAAATCCTGTCCATATCCTACAATCTAAATTATTACATTGCATGAAGTATGATGAAGATTATTGTTCCTCCCATCATATTAATATTTCACTGTCTCTGACGTGTGGCATGCATCGTAATCTAAGATATCACACTCAGATATTTAGATTAAATCAGCTTGCAGCGCCACACGATTATTTATGTCCAATAATTTCGTTGTTATTGTCCAATAGAAATCAATTCAAAATCTCAGTAAATGTCAAGCAGTAAATGCAACTTCGATCATAGAGGATTATACAAGATTTCGTGCAAATCCAATCAGCGATTCTCAAGTTATTTCGTGAGGCCAGACGGTTGGAAGGAAGGACGGACGGAAGCTAATAGGCGTATTTTTAATCTTTTCGTAAGAACTAACTAAAATGATTTTGCACATAACGTGGTGACCTTCAAGTTTTGCTTTTCTGGATGATTAAGTAATCTCTAATTCCGCCTCGGACCATTACTGCTTAATTAGTCAGAGTTATCAGGTAGTGACTAACAAGCAAACAAAAACATCTTTTGTTGTTGGAGAAACGATCCACTTTGAAAGATTCAAGCACAAAACTTTATTTTTTCTGGTAGTACTCTGAGTCAATAAGGGCGTGTGTCTTATTCGCTTGTTTTTATCTTCTTAAGACGGATTTTTATTCTTCTGAAGCATCTTATTTGTATCTAACAAACTTTTCTGCTAAGGATTAACGAAAGAAGTATGTACTTATCGTAAGAAAGATCAAGGATAATAGTAATTTATTCTATGGTAAAAGACGTATATGTGTCTCTTCTCAAATCTGAAGGCTGAAAAATTAATAAATAAGAAAATACATAATTAAAAGCTAATATATCTCACTTATAACAGTAATATTAATATTAAATATTTGAATATAAAAGGATTAGAGTGTAGGATGTTGCACTATAATAATATGTTTAAAGTGGAAGAAATCCTTTGGAAATTAATCGCGTAAAATGGTCAGTTCGCCTGGGAAGATTTTTGGCAATTTTACTAGTCTTCATAAGTCAGTTTAGCGCTGAAAGAAAATGCTAAGGAGAGTATTCGGACCTAAACGAAAGGAATTAGCTAAAGAATTAACAAAATGGCATAATGAAGAATGCCATCATGCGTAATCTTCACAAATAGTACTATCATACTTAAATAAAGTGCAATTAAATGTGTTGGAACATGAGAGAGATTAGAAGTGCATACGTAGGCTACTTAGTACGAGAACATTAAGGGCACCTGGTAGATCTAAACGTAAATGGAAGGATGACAGATTTAGATTACGACTGGCGTGAACACATAATGAAACTTTCGTTTCCTTAATGGTGACCATCAGCTTCTTAATAAGGATTTTACCTAATGGAGTCAATTGTTTGATTGGTTAGGATGGATATGTAGCAAGGACTGAAGGTTCAAGGCGTGTGTAGAGAATGTTTATGTATAGGTCAAACGGTTTGATAATGACTCCCTTGGCTCTGATACCCGAGACTAGCGTAATATAATTTGTCGTTTGTCTGCTCTCTCAAATGCGAAAATTTTATAGCCTTCATTAATAGTAAATGATCCGAAAACTCTTCAACATGTTGAAAGTCCTGTCGTATATTTATATACTTCATTTAAATGCCACATTTATTTTAATGGTTAAATAGATTAAATAAACTATTATAATAATCATAAACATATTTATTTATTTTTATAAAAACCGAATCTAAAACGATATAGTGGTGCTCTATAATTACAGAAAATCTTTTTTCTGGTATCTACTAATGAAAAATCGTGATTGAAGAACGAAGTGTCGGCGCTGATCGATACCTGGCACTATTAACAATTTCCTTGAAACACGACTGCTGGGCTCTGTGCAAACAATCGATTCCACAAGGGAAAAAAATCACGATTGGAATCGGAGAAAACAGTAAAACTGCAGTAACTGCCAAAAGTAATTGATAGTTATTGTTCTAATTAATTTTGTACTACTGTATGAATACTAACCATATATTTTTTCGGCAAATAATAATTTGTTCTCCCCATACTGCGTTTTATTATTGATCCATTTTCTTCTCTGTACCCATATATCAACAGCAAGCCGACACGTCACTTAATGTATCATTTCTGGTAATTACTGTTTTATGTACTGGCAGACGAAATATGACAAAAACAACATGTACTCAGAGAAATTATACATGAGAAGGTATGGAATATACACGTTTGGAATGAAACAATAATTTCAACGAAAACACCAGTAAGTCCCGGTGTATCAGAGAATATGAAGCAATATTTGTCATTTTTCACCTGTTTATATGTTTTATGCAGCGATTCATGTATTATAGTGCCCAAGAAATCAATAAAACAAGTTTAGTCCTTGCCTGTAAAGTATAGTCTATGAACATATCACTCACTTTCATTCTATGCAAACAAAATGCCCACGTAAATTAAGGCCTCAGATAGTAGAAATTGGTTTGTATGAGACATTTTGACACTTACCTAAACCAACAAGAAATCAGCAGGACGCACTAAACCTGGGTCGGCATAGTATAATCACAAAGCCTAAACCAAAACGAAAGATTGTCCCAAAAATATGTATACACACAATTAGTTAAATAAACACATTTTAATAAACAAACCATTGTATACGGCAGAACTAACACTTAGTGAATTAGCGAATGTAATGTACGTGTTCAGAATTCGTGGCACAGTTCACAGCGGTGAGCAACTAACTGACAAGCGGTAACCGAAATTTCTGTTGTGTACATAATTTTTTGGGACACTCTGTGCTTACACAGTAGGGTACATTTGAATAATCAATTTTTCATAGTACCGAGTGGTAAATTTTAGAAAATTTATCCAACTTATTGTTCGAAAGACAGTAATAATTAAACGAGATTTGTGTCATCAAACTTTAACCTTGCATCATTATTTATTAAATGATAAATATTAACCGAAAGAATTCCCGTAGAACAAACTCCTTCAGAAACTAATAGTCGCTCAGCTGCTTAAGGAATTATATGTTTTTTTATAAAATCAGAAATTTCATTACCGTATTCACACGTGCTAGCCAATGACCCCTATGATCGGCCACATGAAACAAATCCACATACTCAGACACTCCCATTTGCTGCTAGATCATCGAAGTGGTCTTCTATCTTAGGTTGTCTGACTTAAAACTCTGTCATGTTTTTCTTACCTGTCCCTTGTATGATGTATACCGTTGATGTACACTCAGCATTTGTAGTCTTTCTTCTACAGTATTCATAATTAACGCCCACTCACTCTTACTATAACTTCACGAAAGATGATTACGTTTTATTTGTATTGCTGGCATATCCGCCTATCGGAAGAATTAGGCACTACAACTGTTGTTGACAAAGCCACCTACCGACATTCACTTCGTCTTTCCAGTCTTACGATGTATGACAACGCTTTCATTAGCCAGAGAAAACATTTTGTCGGAAGCACCTACAAGAGATTTTTTAAATATCGCAGCGCTGACCCTTGTTTCGGTCAGCACATTTCCCCAATAAATTATTTATATATATACAATTACGCATATTTTTCTTCAACTAAATTATCTCAAAATGTTAAATGTATATAAATATTACCACACTTTTCACAAAATTACGATGGCAGTTAATAATAATTTATATAAATTCAGCAAAATAAAGTCTGCGTAACCTTAAATACTATTTCTCGGTTCTGGACATCATGTTTAGTACTTGCACATTTCCATTACACTTGGTACGTAATCCGTGTTGTAAAACAAATGGGACTCGCTCTTACAATTAGCTTATAAGTCGATCTTTGTTTTTATATAATGTGAAGTCAAATTAATTAGATACAATTTTTAGTGCCGTTATAATTACCACCTCAACATGTTAAGCAAATTTATTCCATCTGTTTAATTACATATCTCGAGCACCGTGAGTGAGAGAGATTTAGATTATTCCTTTTATAAAACACTTTACAATAATTGAAACATTCACTAGGTTAAATGTTCTATTTCAGCCTGTATTAAGAAAATGTTGGCAGGTTATCTAGAATGTCATTTGTCTGTCTGCGTGTTTTCATTCCATTACGATATTGTTCTCTGCTAATATTTTTCTTTGAACCGGTTCCACTTCCACTCCACACAAGAAATGAACTACGTAGTAAAACGTCATATTTATAATTGAAAATCACGCAGAGAAAGTAGGTCAGTGTGAACAGTACGAGAACATAAGAAAACAAGAACAAACCATCAAAATTTTAATTTTATCTCAAGATAATATTGTTCAGCGGCCACTGTTTAATATCCAACAACGATTAATTAATTTCCAGTGAAGATACAGGCCATGATATTATAAGTCTCTTTTGCTGGTTTTGTAGTTCCATCAAAAGGCTCCTATAAAAATTAGTTTTGTTTCGAAATAATAAAAACTATAGTGTTCGGCCTAAATTTCTCATTCCATTAGGAAAGACAACTTTACAATATTATGGTTGTGGTACGAATCTACGATGTGGCCGAACACTGACAGGCCTACATTGTGAAAAACCTGTTATTAAGAAAAATGTAAGAAGTTAATATACTCGCGGAGCAAAATCCATATTTTACTTTCATATTAATTGCGTCATAAATCATGAATATTACTTCAAATCATATTTTTATAGAATGTTTCAGGTCAATATGTTAACAGTGCGAAATCTTTATTTTTCTGTAATTTTAATTGCGTCATTAATTATAGCTACTTACCGTTATATTCAAAAAAATTTCTTTAGTAGCGACTATTTACAATTTGCGACGGCTTCTGCAACTGAAGTCAACAATCAAACACACGATTATACATTAAATGTAAACCCAATCATTTGAACACCTGCAGCTGTGAAAATTAGTAGTGGTTGCGCGTCTAATTCATTTTTTCAAACATCAAGTTTTGTTGGTCATTGTTAGTCAGTGATCATTAAATTGCGAAATGAATACACTCGCAGAACCAAAATAGTTCTTCTTAGGGACAATTGTATTCTTTCGAAAAGACAGATCTCGTATTCTTGTTTTAAATTTTTTTCTCAGAAGCGAATTTTATAGAAAATGTCCCTATCCACCTAAAACCGGATGTTTTACGTCCGAGCATTGCGACCAGACACTACGATTAATCCAAAAACCGGATTGTCGGACCAAAAGAAGGAGATTTGGTGGGGAATTTCTTGACTAATTGAGCGACTATTAGCTCATCAAGAACGACTCTGTTATATGGAGTTAGTTTCTACGTCAAGTATCACGAATGAATTTGAGTCAACCATTAAAACTTCCTGTTATTAACGTAAACATATCGCTATAGAATTATCAGTAAAAATATCACATCTACACAACCTGCCGTCTCTCGACATTTGAAGCGAATCATTTTTAACTAAATTTATATGTAACCATGGAAACAGAATTTCTCACCGTGTGAGTGATTACACAGTGTACGAACGACCGAAAAGGCACTTAATCCCTTCCTCCTTGCAAGACAAAAATTAAAGATAAGCAACTCATCTGCGGCTTGCCCAAAACCAAAGTGTCGTGTCGAGTGCATAATGGATCGAAAAGGCCGTGGTAAGTACAGTAATGCTAAAAGTATGTAGTCATTCTTGCAACAATGCTCAGGTCATACACAGACCACCAGAGTATTCACAGGTCGCCCCACTGAAAACAAAAGTGATACACGCGTCATTAATATCACGTTCCAACGTCCCCAGTACTCAAAAAAATGAAGAAAATAAATCAGCAATTTCTTGTAAACTACGCTCGGCACTCACAACTTAGAATGCTACAGCCTCGATAGCTCAGTCAGAAAAGTAACTGCCTACACAGTGGTCATCGACTTATTCTACACTTACATTCATCCCTTATTATCCACTCGCGTGTCTCAAAGTTTTCCCTGAGGATAGTTTATTGAACTTCCATCACTACCTGTTACAAATGGGTCTTTACGAAGATCTGTAAGGCTATAGTTGCGCTTGCAAATAACCTTACGCAACAAACGCGGACAACAAACGGACTCTGAAAATTTCCTTTCAACGGCTTAGTCGGTGGATGTTTCCTGTCGTCGCTCGTGTTATTGACGAATTCTGTAAAAGTGTTCTAGTAATTAACTTATTATTACTCAAAAAAGAACAACAAAAGGGAGGGAAAAGTTAGAAGTGAGAACCGTCGAGAAACGAACAGGTGAACGAAAAATCCAGCGATAAATTGCACAGATATATCTATTGATCAAATGTGTACATATTTATTTCCTTAAGTTTTTTCCCCCTTAGAACCCACGCATTAATATGTATGAAGCACGTGCATGTTTTATTAAAGTATCATCGCTATTGTAATGCTTGTTTTTTCTGATGCTGTCTTGTTCCTATGCTCCTCAGACACTTCAATGTCAGTAGATTTTCCTTGTCTCTCCCCACAAGGGCATCATGCCAGAAGGGCGTATCAACATATTTGCATAATCGGAGATATTTGGCCAGCGCCTTACTTATTTGCTCCATGGCGAAATGTAATTCCTAAAAAGCCGACACTCTAATTCTACTTAAGAAATTACCAACATTTTATGGAAAATGGTACATATCCTAAGCCGGTTAAATTCAATCCACACAAGCAACACATTTTCAAGGCTTTCACCAGTTTTAAATTACGGAACTAAATTTGCCCCACGTCACTTCGACACTTCACGATTCTTGTCTGGCAATATATAGCCCGCGATCCGCAAGCAGTCCCTCAAATATTTTCTTTGGCTCAGGGGCGGAGGGCTCAACCGCACCCGGGCCCCTGAAAAATCATCTTTAAAAATGAATGAAGTATAATAAAATTTTATTCCAATTTTTTATTTATTTTCTACCTACGTTCTTGAAAGTCGCCAGTCCTATTATAAAAGTTTGTACTTTCTAATAACCAAATGTTAATAACAATTTGTTACTTACTGGATTTCTCGCAATTACGAATTGAAATAATCAAATAATGAACCGGTATTTAAATTTAATTTACGCAAAAATTAATATAACATATTAATGTACTTTTTTACACATAATAAGTGCATAAGTTTCACACACTTTTATACGATGCATTAACCATACAGGAAATACGAGACTGGGGACCGAAGCAATTCTGTAGTTCACATTTTGACCCACATGAACTTTCAAGTTTTGCAGGCCTGATAAAATCAGTATTAAGGGTTAAACTTCAAAATTAATACTGATTGTTTATATTGATTGTTATAACCATTATTATAACATCTTTGGAAGGATTCACAGCACAGCGACGTGTGTTAAGTGCCTTGAGACCGACCAATCATGTAAAAGCGTGCTACAATATTCCTAAGCAACGAAGTGCATGTAAAGCTATCGCAGTAATCTGCCTTGCCTTCCTCCTCTATTTACCCTAATGGTCCACTATAAAAGCCACTTTCCTATCTAATGCTTATGTCACGTGTGGCTAGCCAATAATATTACAGAGAAACAAGAATCAGGGCCCCGTCATGCTTTGCGGCGTCAGTCTAAATGAGACTTTAACAACCGGAGGTTTTTAGAGTAAAATAATACGTCCCATCTCTTTTACCACATAAACCCGTCCCCCTTACACCCGGTTTCTAAACCCTTCATCAGAGACCCAGGGCGTACTCAGGCCTATATCGCTTATACACAAGAGAGACAAAAATATCTCTCGTGACAGAATATGCCGAATCAATCAGTGAGGGCAGCTCTTATACAAAATAATATGAACAGAGGAGAACATAATTTAATTCATACGATTTAAGGACACAAATAATGTCGCCATTTTTTAATATAATTCACAACATGTTCATTTTTGCTTTTCTACAATAGAAACATACTCTAGTCCGTGTCTATGATTATCGATGTAATACTAAGAGCCTATTAATGATACAGATCTGTCATCTTATGGTATCAAACATTTATTATTAATTTGTTCTACTTTACTGTGCCCTTACCCTCAACTTTAATATGCACTTCGTCCGCAAATTAATTATAAGTAGTCCTATAGGCCTAAGTAAGTACAACAGAATTTCTTCAGAAAGTGACGAGTCTTTTATGGGACCCGAGATTTTATTGGAGCTGCCGTGTTTATAGGATCCAGCTGGTATACAGTGTTTTTAATCAGCTGAATCCATCCACATCTCTACGTATTAATGTTTAATATCCATTGTAATATCTCTATTTCTACGTATAGGTTTCCCAAATTTAGGTTTTACGACTAAAATTGTGTATGCATTTCATATCTCCAAATTCGTGCTCTTCGTGTATATTTCGGTTTTATCAATCGTCTAAGTGTTTCTTAATTAAGACCACAGTGTTTCGGAAGCTGGTTCTATTTCCATTTTCAGGTGACTGGCGGGATAAACAAATCCTACTCCTAATTACGTAA